CCCTGAACCCTGAACCATAACCTGGATGGAGGCCAGGGAGCAGAAACCCTGAACCTTGAACCCTGAACCATAACCTGGAGGCCAGGGAGCAGAAACCCTAAACCCTAAACCCTGAACTTTGAACCGTAACCTGGAGGCCAGGGAGCAGAAACCCTAAACCCTGAACCCTGAACCATAACCTGGAGGCCCGGCAGCAGAAACCCTAAACTCTGAACCCTGAACCATAATCTGGAGGCCAGGGAGCAGAAACCCTAACCCTAAACCCTGAACCCTGAACCCTGAACCATAACCTGGAGGCCAGGGAGCAGAAACCCTAAACCCTGAACCCTGAACCCTGAACCATAACCTGAAGGCCAGGGAGCAGAAACCCTAAACCCTAAACCCTGAACCCTGAACCATAACCTGGAGGCCAGGGAGCAGCCCTCGGAGGCAAGCGGCCCAAGGCCAGAGGAGAAGAGGGAAGTCAAGCCGGAAGAACAGGCAAAGCAGGACATAGGGTTGAGGGTTTAGCGGCGGGATCACAGTTCGGTTTCGAGCCTAATGTTCAGGATTTGGGGTCTCGGTTTTTGGCTTAAGTTTAGGGTTGAGGGCTGTGGCTTTGGGTTGAGGATGGCTTGGGGTTTGACATTTGAGGTGTAGGTCCTGGTTCGAGGATCCGAAGGGGGTGGCCGGGGCGGAGTCGAATCGACTTGTCCATGCCGAAAAAGCGGTCTGGAAGGGTCTGGGGGTAAAGGGGGTCTAGGGTTTAGGGTTTAGGGTTTAGGGTCAGGCTGGCACATTGCAGGGATTGGGGGTCTTCTGGCTGGTGCGAGCGGGCTCTGGCAGGGGTCAGGGTTTGGCCAGGGTTTTTGGCCGCCAAGCGCGCAATGTGCAAGGCTCCAGGCCGGGGTTTTCAGTGGCCGTCCAGTGGAAACTTCGAGCAACCCTGACAAAGTGAGGGGCGAATTGTTTGTTGGGAACCCTTGCTTCTCGTCGAGCGGCCGGCACAGGCCGCGAGGACCCACAACCCGACTTCAATCCATCTCAGCTGTGGTTTGCTGTAAGTGCATTTTTGCCGAACTGCGAGGGGAAGCAGAGAGCAAGAAAGCAGCTTTTGAAGAGGGTAATGATTGGGGTGGTTGGGGCGGGACTACACGCGTGGGCTTGCGCACGCTGTATGCGCACCCGAAAACCTAAACCCTCAGCCTCAAATCCTGAACCCTGAACCATAACCTGGAGGCCAGGGAGCAGCCCTCGGAGGCAAGCGGCCCAAGGCCAGAGGAGAAGAGGGAAGTCAAGCCGGAAGAAGAAGCAAAGCAGGACATAGGGTTTAGGGTTTAGCGGCGGGAGCCCAGTTCAGTCAGTTCGCTTTCGAGTTAAATGTTTAGGTTTAGGGTTTAGTTTTAGGGCTTAAGTTTAGGTTTTAGGATTGTGGCTTTGGGTTGCGGATGGCTTGGGGTTTGACATTTGAGGTATGTCCTCGTTCGAGGATCCGAGGGGGGGGGGGGTGCCGGGGCGGAGTCGAATCAAGCAATGTTATTAGGTACGAGTAGTGTCCTTGCACGGCTAACTTTACACAGATGTGCAGGCTCGTCAATTATGCAACCCCCATGCATCGCTATAGTATCATCTTGAGAAGCCTGGACTTAAACCTTTTGGACTGTCGCACTGAACAAGCGCGATCCCTGATGCCTGGAACTTAAGAAGAACTTAGCAGCTATAGGGCGCAAGGTCGAAGCTGAAGCCTGACATCGTGTATTCATACAAGCCCCGACTAAAAAGCCCGCACAACACACACCCGAGCCCAACCATTAAACCCCTGAGCCCTCCTACGGTATTCTCCGGCAGGCCTGATTCTTGGGAGCACGTTCTAGTTTTGCTGACTTGCCGTGAGTACTAGAGTCGTCAAGCTAGGAGAGCTGTACTTGTGGTTGTACGTCATAGTTCTGTAGCCCATGATAAATGTGTGCAAACATACATAGACACATACATACACATGCATGCGTGCATGCGTGCATTCAACCATACTTGGATACATAGGTACATGCATACATGCTACTTCTACACATGCATGTAGGTACACACGGACGTAGGTACATACGTACATGCATGTACATATCTAAATGCATGCATGTACATACATATACATACATATATATATATATATTTATTTATTTATTTGTTTATATTCATTTATATGTGCATGCAGGCGTATATATTTATATGTGCATGCACGCGTACAGACATACACAAACACATGCATGCATACGTCAGCACTGTTCCATCCATCCATCCATCCATCCATCCATCCATCCATCCGTCCGTACTTGCATACATACGTGCATACATACTGACAAACCCCTACATGCAAACACTCTTGTGTGCTCACTCACTTCGTCAATCAAGTATATACATGCCTCCGCGCAGGCATGCATGGATGTATAGGTCTACACGTACATGCACAAGTGTGTGTGCGTGTAAGTTTGTGTTCCAAATGCAGATAGCACAAGCAATGTGTGTGTATATGTATATATATATATATGTATATATATGGTTATGCATATGTATACGTGTGTGGACATCTATCTATCTATCTATCTATCTATTTATCTGTCTATTTGTCTATCTATCTGCCCATCTACCTATTTATCTATCTACTATTTATTTATCTGTTTATCTATCTACCAATTTATCAGTCTGTCTATCTATCTGTCTATCTGTCTATCTACCTATCCATCTAACTGTATATTTGTCTAGCTACCTATCTATCTTTACAAACGGGTCTTGTTCGTCGTAGCACTTTCAGTATTTATGCGCCAGTCATGTCTAGCCATCCCCATCTCTTTACAATGCACGCAAAAAAGATCACAAATTCCAAGCCCTTAACCTCAGCCCTAAACGACCTTGAGCTCTGCCGGGAGGAGACTGCTGAAGCGCCCGCCGTACCTCGGGCAAAGGCTCTTCCCAAAGCCATGTCGGCCGCCCTCGCACGGCATTTCAGGGTTTAGCGACTGGGGGGCGGGTAGTCCAGGACAGGGGGGTATCCAAGGACATTTAGGGATTTATGGTTTGGAGGTTCAGTTTTGTTTAGGTTTCCGGGTCGAGGGGGTCAGGTCTTCAGGGCGAATGTCCCTAAGTTTGGATGGGGGTATGGACTTACATTCATACAGCATCACATGAATACTTACCCTAAACCCCTAGAGGCCCTAAACTCTAAACCCCTAAACCCTAGGTTTGAGGCTTTATGTATAGGGTTTATAGGGTTTAGACGTTTAGGTATTAGGCTTGAGGGTTTATAGGGTTTAGAAGTTTAGGTTTTAGGCTTTAGGCTTTAGGGTTGTTGAAGCTCGCCGGGCTTCTCGGTATGCTATGTGTGTACCGGCGTTCAGGGTTTCGGGTCTTCCTCCAGGCGCTTTGACAGGAAGCCCTGAATGAACCGTTAGGGGAACTGTTGGTGACCTATATTCTGCATTACCTTTCGGGCATCTTTAGGACCCTGAAGTATGGGAATTATGGTATATTCCTTATTTTGGGATAGGGCCCTAAAATTGGGTTCCTCTAAAGGGTGCGACTGAAGGCTTCCGTTAACGGGTTGTTATTCAGGTTACTACATTAGGGTTTAGGGTTTAGTGTTTAGGGTCTAGGGCTGCTGCAAGGGCGACTATACCCGGTATTACAGGATTTCAGTATAGGGTTCTTAATAATCAGACGGGGTTGTTTAAAGGTTGTAAAGCTTTCGTTTAATACGGTTTTATCGGTGTTTACAGGGCTTTGGTACAAGTGAAGAGTTAGTGTATTCCATAGAGCATCTTGTTTTGGTTACAGTACAGCATATCCCGAAACCGGTTTCTAGTTGCTAATGCTGCTATGTCAACCCCGAAACTCCTGTTACTGAATGAGAGCTGTGACTTTGACAAAGCCCATGCACACCACAGAGGCCCAGTCACAATCGGAGACACTGAGTGTGGCTTTGGCAGTATGTCATAAATCTGCCCCCAAAACGACAAGCTCTGAAGAGTTGCAGCGATCTCTGTGAAAGCTTCATAATTAGCTTCAGCGTCAGACATCCATTTCCACAGCTGGAACCCTAAACCCTAAGCCTGGGTTTCGGGTTGAGCATTAAGGTTCAGGATCTTCAGGGTTTGGTGTGTGTTGCGTTGTGGCAGGCGCGTAGGAGTAGTCCGTGCCAAATACTCCCACAACCCAAAAAGCCAGGTCATGACGAAGGTAAACTTCGTCGCCGGCAGGCGACCATGCTCCAAATGCGAGTAAATCATGGCTTTCGGGCGGCTTGCTGTAAACCCTAAACCTAAAACCCTTAACCCCTAAACCCTAAACCCTAAACCCTAAACCCTAAACCCTAAACCCTAAAGCCCTAAAGCCCTAAAACCTAAACCCCTAAACCCCAAACCCCTCCACTTAGACCCGAAATGGCCTTCGGGCGGTTTGCTATCGGGCTGTGGGCTCTAAGCCCACATCGCACCCTAAGCAAGTTGTAGGGTTGTAGGCTTTAGGGTTTTAGGTGTTAGGCTTTAGGCTTTACGGTTTTTTTTAGGGTGTAGGCTTTAGAGTTTTTCGGGTTTAGGCTTTAGGGTTTTTTGGGGTATAGGGTTTAGGCTCTAGGGTTTTAAAAAGGAATTTAAGGCTCAGGCCAAGCCCAAACCGGCCCTCGACGAACGTTTTGGGGATCGCACCGCGACGCGAAGCCCGGAAGCCCTCGACTCCTAAACCCTTAAACCCTTGGCCCGCAATTACAAAACCCTAAACCCTAAAACCCTACTAAAACCCTATAAACCCGAAGCCGTAAATCCCTAAAGCCCTAAAACCCAAGCCTTTGAAACTCTCGACGCTGTGTCCCTCGACCCAGCACGTGCAATTTTTCGCCCTGAAGCCCAAGACTCCACCAACCCAAGAACAGAACCTTTCAAAGCCCCGTAATGTAGGGGCCTTCACAATGACCAACATTATACTGGGGTTCCTTTTTATACATAGTATAATATGCACAAAAGCCTTATTCTAATTATTAAGGCGCCTATGTTTCAACCACCTGAAAACCCAGGAGGCCTAAAGCCCAACGATCCCGCAAACCCGCAGCCCTAAACACTGTGGTGCACTTGTAGAACTCGTATGAACCCGGTATAGGAACACGAAAGAAGCAAGAACCCGAAACCCTTTTGAATCCTAACCCCTAACCCCTAAAACCGATTTAAAGCCCTTAAACCCTAAACCCTAACCCTAAACCCCTAGACCCTAAAACCGATTTAAGTCCTTAAGCCCTAAACCCGAAACTCTAAACCCTAAACCCCAAACCCCAAACCCAAACCCTAAACCCTAAACCTCTAAACCCCAAACCCCAACAACCCTATACATCTTACATCCCCCAAACGCCCTTCGCATGCAGGAAGGGCAGTCCGAGCCTCGCTGTTTCAGGGGGGCAAAAGCGCAAGGCTTCACGGCTTCTCCAACAGTGTGAACCCTTCAAGGACTCCTTTAAGGGTTCCGTTAAAGGAACCTTAAAGGGAGCCCTTCAAGGACTCCTTTAAGGGTCCCTTTAAGGGAACCTAACGGAGCCCTTCAAGGAACCCTTAAGGGTTCCTTTAAGGGAACCTTAAAGGAACCCTTAAGGGTTCCTTGAAGGCTTCCCACACGGGTTCAGGGTTTGGGGGGTTTTAGGGTTTTGAGGTTTACGGGTTCGGGAACTTGTTTGCTTGATCTACACCGTGTGTATACAGTATATATTTACTCTTCATATGTATACATATATCTAGACATAATACAAGTGTGTATATATATATATATATATATGTATATTATACATATGTATACATATAATTATAATATGTAGAATGATAAAAGCACAGACTTCTCTCTCTGTATATATATATATATACTAACACATACATACATACATACATTCATTCATTCATACATACATACGCGGCAGCTTGAGGGCGTGTGTTAAATGCCGCAAGCACCTGAGACGGGAATGGGTCCAGGGCATGATACCGGTAGTTAGGGCAACATTGGGTCGATAACATTACACTTGTACCGGTAGCTAGGACAACAGAGGGTCGAAAACAGTAACACTTTCTCAAACTGTTTCTGCGGGTTCTTAATATGGTTACCCGAAAATCCTGCTTCAATGATCAAGGGGCCTTAGTTGTGTATCTTAAGCCCGAAATAACTCCCAAACCCTAGACACCACACCCAAGTCCTAAGCATTAAAGCCACAGCCCCCACACATCCTCGGCCCGCAGACATGTTACATGTTAGGAATCCTTATCGTACCCCTAATCGTAACCCTAAAGCCTTGACCTCTTAAGCCTTTAACTCTGACTGGAGCCTTTTAAAGGAACCCTTTAAAAGAACCAAGCCTTCAAAGGAACCCTTACGTACAGGAGCCCCAAGCCCAAGCCCTACTGTTCCGTAAGGGATTCCTTGACGGATCCCTTAAAGGGACCGATCCCTTGCAGGCACCTACCAAGAGGGGTTCCTCAACAGATCCCGTAAAGGAACCGATCCCTTAAAGGAACCTACCAAGAGGGTCCATAAAAGGGAGTTTCCGAAAGTAAGGGGTACCATATTTTAGGGTCCTTATAATAGGGATACTACTATTTGGGGTACTATATTAGGGTCCCCTATTTTCGGAAACCCCATATGCTACAAAACCATAATAAGGATGGTCTTTTGGGGCCTTAATCCATAACGGTAGCACATATGGACCTTCTGGGTTGCCTATAACGTGGCTACTGCCCTTGAAATCAAGGCCCTAATCCCTGAACCCCTAAACCCCTAAACCCCTAAACCCTTAAACCCTAAACCCTAAACCCTAAAGCCTAAACCCTAAACCCTGAACCCTAAACTCTAAACCCTAAAGCCTTAAGGCACCCATAGTTTAGTATATTTAGACATTCTGGGTTACACCCATGCAGCGACTGAGGCCTGGCGGTCAGCTCGGGCGTTGACGGCACCAGCCTTGAGTTTGGGTGTGGGTTTAGGGGTTTAGGGTTTAGGGTTTAGGGTTTAGGGTTTAGGGTTTAGGGTTAGGAGTTTAGGAGTTTAGGGGTTTAGGGGTTTAGGGTTTAGGGTTTAGGGTTAGGAGTTTAGGGGTTTAGGGGTTTAGGGTTTAGGGTTTAGGGTTTAGGGTTAGGAGTTTAGGGGTTTAGGGGTTTAG